TGCTGCACAGAGAGGCTTATTTATAAAGTGGGGAGTACCAAGAGGGCGGCCTGTGGCTTCACCTTTTTAGGTATCAGTAATCCAGTAAATAAATAGAGATCAGTGGTGTGTGTGTATATATGATAATAATAAAAAGATACACTTTGAAAAAGAGTTTTGAAAGAAGTGCAAACTTATAAGGTCCAAACCCCTTTAATCAGACACAGCAAACATTTACCTTTCATTTGATTTGAAAAAACTTTTGATATAAACAAACAAAATAAAAAGTCATTTCTGGCTTTGAATAAAGGTTTAATACTCTAAACAGAGCCATCTAGTGTCCGGACAGAGTCATGGCATAAAAGGGATAATTAATAAAGATATGGATGATTGAATGGGATAAAATTAAATAAACATTTTGATCATTAAATTAATAAATACAGAACTTGACTAGTTTGAATTCCTACTTGAAGGACGGAGACTTTCTGTGACAGCAGGCAACTTAAGAATTCATATGCAGGGCTCCCAAGAGTCAATCCTGGGGCCCTTATTGCTTAATCCCTACATGCTGCCCCTAAATCTGATTAAAATAAATAACCTCAGTTAGCATAAATATGCAGACACCACTGTAGGTCACCAGGTGACTGTGAATCCATTCCATTGATGGATGGATGCAAAGAGGAAATCAGAGGATGCATCAAAAGATGTTCCATAGCAATAACTTCAGGAGATCTTAGATCTGGGTCTAAACTCAGGCCTATTTTGCGCATCACAAAGTGATGAAAACAAACAAATTTTATCCACCTGATTACTGTTCTTAAGTACTGTTATCTGAGTAGCTTTTACTTTACTTGGGTCATTTTTCAGGGTGGTACTTCTAACTTTCCCTCCACTCCATTTCCAGGAAGCTGCTGGTTCCTTGTTCATTTTAGCTCAGCTTAGCTTTAGAATCGGCTGCTGATTTTCTTTCTTTCAATGTAATTTCATCATTGCTGCCCTTAGGACTGAATCTGGACGCCACTGTTTTAGAGATTTAATAACATTCCACAAATTTTAGAAACTCGGAGCAGATATTATTAGTTTATAAATCATATCAAGGCTTTAGTTGTTCAGTAGGATGAGTTCTCAGAGTTTGAGTTTCTTTGTGGTAATAAATTCAACCGTAAACCTTTATTCTAAATGAAAGTTTGAGGAGAATCAAGACTTTCCTGTTTTTCCTTTTGGTTTCTTTTTAAATACCAAACAAGAAGCCAAATAGCTGTCCTTGGTTTTGTGGCAGTTCTAGTTCCAGATGGTGTAGAATCTACAGCAGGTGGTTCTACGCATTAATACATCTGGTGGTTTCTGAAAATGACAGGTTCTTTCAAATTAATGTCATTGCATGGGAGCATTTATGATATGCAACTTTCTAAAATATTTAATAATTGGTCCATTAATGTAGCAGAACAAATGTGCTGATTTTTGGACACAGACCTATTCTGCTGATGAACTGAGACATTTATAGATATTATACAGGTAGAAATAAGTCTCCTTTAAAGATTTGGAAATCATGTTTTTTCCTCATCCTCTCTTCACAATACCTCCTCACTAGATCAGTTTTCATCTTTCTCCAATTGTGTTTGCTCACCATGACCTAATATGACCTTTTCTTCCCATATACGCTATTTTTAACACCATCTAAATCTCTGGGTTGATCCCCGCTGCTGAAATGAGTTTAATTCGCTGTTAAATGTTCTGAAGTAGGTTAATGGAAGTGAGTCAGGATTGCATTTTTTTCTAAAGGACTCTTCAGTTCACAGAAGAGTCAACGCAGCTTTCCTTCCTGCGGCCGACGTCCTTTTTAAGCTCAATTTCATGCATTCTTTCATACGTCTGCAACTTTGGAAACCAGTAGTATTCTAATAAAATCAAAAACTAAAACTGATGATAATTTCCAAATCTATATGCTGTTTTTTTCCCCATTCAGTATAGTTTAACTCACTAATTTAAGCTGTGTTAAGGCATCCAAATGAATTAAAGTTGCACCATTTGGAAACCGTTCCGTCTCATTTATCTTCCCGATATTAAAATATTACAAAAGAGAAAAATTAAACACCACACAATGTCTCTGGATTTAACAGTCTGTAATCTGAGGGTAAACAAAAAATAAAACAAGAGTCACAGAGTTTCTTCATTTCATGAGTTCAGAAGTTTAACCGGAAAAAAAATTATATATGTATGCATATATATGTACATATATGCTGCATATAGGCTAGATTGAGGTGCATATATGTGCATATATTTGCATATATATGTACATATACATATCTATACATATATAAAAGTATGTATTCATACCAACAGTTTGTACGGACAACAAAGACGATTTCAAAGTTTTGTATCAAAAAAAGGTCGTAGGGAGCAAAATTTAACAATACATTCAAGTCCCACAAGAGACAAAAAAAAAGAAAAAGTACCGTTTTCACAGAAAACGTCTTATCGGTGACCCACAGACGGACACAGAGTCTCTAACACTGACGGCACAAACCCTTCCTGGGTTCACAGGAGGAACGACATCGGTTACGCCATGATTGTCACATCACAGACGCTGCTGCAGCCCCAGAGTCGCGGATATGCAGAAATCCGCCGTGTTACGCGCTGCTCGGGTCATTAGCATCTAGTCCAATCAGCTGCAACCAAGAAAACTAGGAAGAACATCTCATGGATTGAGAAAGAAGGAGTCAGCGGCGCATTCTGCTTGTTGGGACTCTGATCAGGGAGCAAAAGTAACGCTGGGAGGAAATGAACCAAAGAACCAGATGATCCCATTTGGCACAAACTCCAGACTCAAATTAAGAGCAATGTTGTGTTCAAGCATTAATCGGTGGTTGGTTTCCATGGCAGTAGGTCAGTCCAAACAGCTGCGGGAACGTAGTGGTCAGGTGTCTGTGCATGTTTCAGTCTCACAGTTCAAAAAGTAAAACAGAGTCTGGTTGTTGGGTGGAGCTCCTGGTTTCCTCTGGATTCACCGGCTGAGGAGGAGCGGCGCTGCCCCCTAGTGGCCGTGCTGGTTGGCAGGGTGGTTAGGCGGTAGCGGGGGGCCGTTGACGCCGGGGTGGTAGAAAGCACAGTTGCTCTCGTACCTGCAGCTGCCCTTCATCATGAAGTGACGACAGATGGGCCTCTTGGACATGTCTGCGAGCAGAGAAGGCGATCAGACGACACGTTTCTGATCAGAGACCAATAATCAGCTGTGCTGGATCTACCTACCGTTCATGTTGTTGTGTCCCCCCCTGGGTCCTCCCCGTCCCCTGCCTCGGAAACCCATGTCTCCTCCCCGACCCCTCCCTCCTCGGGGGAAATGCCCCCCTCGGTGAGGGCCCCCCCTCATGGAGTCGTCTCCCCAGTAGTTTCCGTTCTCTCCTCCTCTCCCTCCTCCTCGGGGCCCCATCATGCGGGGGCCTCCGGCGTTGTTGAAAGGCGGGCCGTGGTTGTGAGGGGGTGGGGGGTGGTTGAAGTGAGGCCCCCCCTGCGAGCTGTTGGGTGGGTAGCCGCCGTTCATGGGCATCGGCATGTGCATGTTGTTCATGTTGTTGACGCCCGGCCCGTGGCCCAGAAGCCCCTGGTTGACTGAAGGGGAGGAGGCAGGGAGGTTAGGCTGGGTGAGGGAGGGGTTAAGGCTGGATGATAAGGGGGCGTGTTTACCTGGAGGGGGTCCGCTCTGGTTCTGGATCTGGTTCTGCTGCAGAGACCCCAGCAGCTGCTTTATCTTATCGGAGAAGTCGGGCTGCTTGATCAGCTCCTCTGTGGACTGGCTGCCAGACGCTCCCTGAGGACAGAAACCCGGTTAGCTTCCGCACAACTCCTTCTCCTTACCCCATGACATCACTCAAGCGGCGGATCGGTACCATGATGGACGTCAGGAGCTCCTGGACATTCACCACCGGCGCTGCGGGGTTTTGGACGGCGCTGGTGGCCTGAGGGCTGCGGGCGTTGCTGTTCAGGTTCATGAGGTTGGCCAGAACCGGCGGCAGCTTGGAGCTCTCCGTCTGGGCCTGATGGGACGACGTGTCCATAGGCTCGCCGTAGCCGTCATCCTCCATAGAAGAGTCCTGCAGGGAGACACAGCGACGGCTCAGAGGACAAGATGGCTGACTGCGAGAGAGAATCAGTGAGTGATTCTGGTTCCGTTTGCTTACCTCGTCCAGGGGGATGAGGCGGGGGGGCATTGGTTCATATGGCTCTGGGTCCGGCTCATGAGGACTGTCTGGTACGCTGGCGAACAGAAAGAAATGGGAGTCTTTATCATGAACAGGGATCGGCCGCCATGTTTTACGGTTGCTCAGCGCGGACACACGTACCTCTCCTTACTGAGGAAGATCTCCTGCAGGATGCCCATCTCCCGCTCCCTCTGGGTGTGCTTCTCTGTGCTGTTGGCCCCCGGCGTCACAAGACTGCCCGCCAGAGTCAGGGGCCTCGGCTGGGTCCAGGGGACCCGCTCCTCCATGGCGTCGTGGGAAAGCCGGCGAGCCATCTCAAAGGTTTGTCTGTCCATCATCAGCTCCCTCTTCGCCGCCTCGCCGAAATCTTTGATCTTATTGACGTTGACTGTAAATAAAAATGAAACGGATTAAAGAAGCTGGAGACTAATCCTCACAAGCTTTGGATCAGCACCGCAGAAACAGTCTAGAAATAAGAAAAAACGTCTTAAATTAAGTCTATTTATCCTTAGATTGATTAGTTAAAGATGAATTGCCAACAGAATGAGTATTTTTACTTTCAAAATAAGATTATTAGAAAATATGCACTTGAAATAACACAATGCAGTTGATTTTTCTTATTTTAAATGCAAATTGTCTTTGTTCCATTGGCAAAAGTTATCTATTTTTATTCCGTGAGGCAGACACCCTGTCTACTTTTAAGGCTAGGCTTAAAACTTTCCTTTTTGATAAAGCTTCTAGTTAGAGTGGCTCAGGTTATCCTGAGCTATCTCTATAGCAGAAATCAACTGTTTATAGAAATAAACTGAATTTAAAAGTGTCTCACTTTCCTCCGCAATAAAAAAAAAAATCAGGTATTTTTAAGCAAAAGCTTCTTATTTAGATTTTGATGTTTTTCAGTGCATTAGACCTGAAACCAAGCTGCATAGAGCTAACTCTCACCTCTTTCCGTCTCATCCAAATCGAAGTAGAAATAGTGTTTGAGCTGCTCCTCCTCGGCCCAGTGGACCGTCTTCTTCTTCTTGCCCTTCTTGGTCAGACCTTCTTCTTCTGGCCGTGGTTCTGCCAAAGCGTTGGGCTTCTCCGCTGTAACAGCATCAGAGGTGTTTTTACGTTCCTTTCTCACCAGCAGCCTGTTAATTTAACAAATCTGCACATTTTGGGGGCCTTACTGTTTTCAGAGGCTTCGGGGTCCTCAGCAGGAACCGGGGTCAGAGGTTGCTCTGGTTCCTGGTTTTCATCAGCAGGAGCAGACGAAGCAGCAGCCTCCGGCGAAGGCGGTCTGGCTGCAGACGGGGAGTACCCAGCTGGTTTACTATCGAACGGGTTCCCCTGAGGACAGGAGGGGGAGGGGTCAGTGGGCGGGGGTCTGGATGACTGCTGAGAAAGAAGCGGGTGAGAGAAGCGGGTCGGTACCTTGGCTGACGTCGGTGAGACGGCTTTGGAGTTCGCAGGAACAGAAGCTCCTGGTGGTTTCTTCTTCTTGATCCTCTCCGGGATCGGCGCCGAGTTCAGGGCATCCAGGAAGCCGGTAGCTTCCATCGCTGCAACACAAAAACTCCTCGTATCAAACAGCCGCTCCAACAAACCGAAAACCGTTTCTGGTTACCTGTGCTTAAACTCACGTTGGGCTGGAATGATCTTGACTTTGATCTCTTTGGTGGAGTTTGAGGGAGTATTTAGTGGTTTGTACTTTTTCTCCGGAGGCGGAGCGTCTGAGGGGCCGGAGCCACTGAGGAAAAACCCACAGCAATCAGAATCAGCAGCCTGACAGGAAAAAACACACGATTTCAAACAGAATGCGGAGTCTTACCTCGGCCTCTTCAGCAGCGGAGGCTTTATGATGTATTTCTCCCCCAGCTGAGGGGCAGGGGTCGCCTTCTTAGGAGGGGCCGGGTTGGAAGCCTCCATTTCCAGCCCTGTGCAGCAAAGACAGAAACACGACTATGAGAAAGATGGTCGGATGTGAGGGCCGGTGGGTGGCTGCTGCTGAGGCAGGGCGTACCAATGGAGCGGATCTTAGCGTGGCTGGGAGCGTGAGCTTTAGATTTCTCCTTCTTCCTCCCCTCATCGCCGCTCTTTTCCTTCACGTCCCTCACCAGCGTCTTGCTCTCTTCTTTTTTCCTCTTTTTATCTAAAGAAAAGAACGGTGTTAAGAAGGCGGAGAGTTTAATCTGGGATGGAACAGAGAAACCATGGAGGTCCGTACCAGCAGGGGAGCTGCTGCTGCTGCTGGAGGCGCTTTGGGAGCGGATGGTGGCCATCCAGCCTTCCACCAGGACGCCTGCCAGCTTCCTCAGCTCTAAAAACAAAGAGTCACAAACTGTTAAAGCTACACCTCAAACCAGCATTCGTGCTGATTTCAGTCTCAAACTCACCTTCAGTGTCTGCGCTTTTACTCAGCTGCTTCACCAGCTTGGCTGTGTTGTTCTGGGGGAAAACGATCAGAGTGGGTTAATGCTGCAGAACGTTGACTAAAACCCTGAAACCCAGAGAGCAAATGTGAAGGCGCTACCTGCTTGAGGTGGTCCACTTTGAGAGGCAGCTTCTGCAGGGTGAGCAGGATGAGCTGCAGCAGCGGGGTGTTGTTTGTGCTTTTGGAATACGTGAGCCAGGAGTTGAGCAGCCGGTAGCCTCCGACTTGGATGAACCTGGATGAAGGAGAAGCTTGTTTTTTAAACCACCAGATGGCGCTACTAGAAGAACTGCTTCTTTTTCCTGAGCCTGAACTAAACCTCAGTATTTATTATATAACCCCAGTCAGCCTGATGGCCGCTCACTGTGACTTTTTAAACCCTGCGGTCTGAGCTGTAGCTGCGTGCAAAGATTGAAAATATTGCACAGTGTATGCCCGACTTAAAAAGGTTTTCCTCTCAACTGTCGCTACAAGCATGCTTGGCGTTTTAACTAACTGGTTTCCCTTAAGATAGAAAACCATTCAATTCTACTGGATGATGTGGTTGAATACTGCAATGTGCCTAAGAGATAAGGCATTGTGAACTGATGCTATATCAATAAAATTATTTAAAATGTATGTGTGGGAGACCCACCTGTTGAGAACATCGTGAGATTTCGTCTGCAGAAGCACGTTGAGATACATACACCTGCTGGCCATCTTGGTAGAGGCTTTCATCAAGCTGAGAAAGAAAAGATAAAATGAGTCGATGGGTTGATGACAGAGGGGGGAACAAGGGCGGAGTTCTGTCAGATCAGCATACCCATAGGCAATACGCATCTGCAAGACTTTAAACTACCTCCATGAGTGTGTATCACTTTAAGTCAGATCGTCATACGCTTCCAAATAACACCGAAAAGAAGGTAATTAAATAGTTTTTTTGTAGATGACCAAAGGGAAACACACCCATTTAGATAGTTTAAAGTCCATTTCTCATGCAAAACTAAAGAGGTAAACGGTGATCGACTTTTGGGATGCTGGGATGACCAGGAATGCTCATCTGACAGAACAGCAGCACCATCAGAGGGCAGCGTCTCACCTGAACACCTTGGGAACTCCCTCCAGACTGCGGAGCTCTCCATCCTTCCCCAGCAGGGACTCCACCCCTTCCAAAATCTCCTTGGGGTCAACAGGTTCCACCACCATGTCTAAAACACACACACCCCACATCATCAATATAGAGCCCGGACAAGGTCAACGATTCAAAGACACGCGGTTCTAGCGACATCCTGTCGGTCTGCTGACTGGGCCTAAGGATCCCGGATCGTTTCTGAGACCATAGAGGGAAAAACAGCCAGAGTTGGACCAATAAGGTCAAAAGTGACCAATCACCTGGATGCAGGTGACTACACCGCCACGCCTGCTTTGGTTCAGGAACATCTGGGTCAGTTCCTCCTGAACAGTGAACACAGACAAACACCTGCAGCCTCCTGCTCCCTACGCTGAAACCAGTTCAACCACCCCTCCCATACGAGTGTGAGACAGATGTATTATAAAGATTTAGGTTCAAAACACAGAGACAATGCAGTGTTTATAAAAACTGTTCCATGAATCATCAAACAAAAACATGTTTTATTGATCTGAGTTTTTATTCAGGTTATTAAAAAACATCTATTTACCCTTTTTATGTCGTTACACATGTGGACACACCTTCCAACTAAATGTTTCTGAGTGATGACGCTGACATAAATAGTTGGACGCATCTAAATCTTGAGGCTCTAGCTCAGGGGTGTCAGACTGTAGTCCTTGAGGGCCGGTGACCTGCAGCTTTTAGAGGCATCTCTGCTCCATGACACCTGCATTCAATAATTAGCAGGACTTTGAGACTTAGTTCAGGTAAGTTGGAGCAGGGAAACGTCTAGAAGCTGCAGGACAGCGGCCCTAAATGACTGGAGCTTGACATCCCTGCTGTACTGGCTATCTGGTGTCAGACCAGTAGGGTGAAGATCAGCCACACTAGGATTCTGATGACAAGATAAGTGGGACTGATAGAAAGAAACATCATTCTGACCCATGAAGAAAGGTTCATGTTTTATCACACTGCAAACAATGTGTATCTATCTTCAAATAAGTGCATTTTTTCCTCAAATTAAGTCAGGAAGTGAGACACTTTGCTAATGGAATAAGACATTATTACATTTATAAGGAAAACTAGTCTCTAATTTCAGGTGTATATCCTCTCTTTGTCTTATTTTAAGGGTAATATACTCATTTAATTGAGCAATAATCTTATTTTCCTTCTTAAATTAAGGCTAAATACAATATTTAAAGACAATTGTTCTAATTTTCATAATGTTAATGCAGTCAAACAGATATCTTAGATGTTAGCTGAGGTGTTTGAAAGAGGGAGGAGTCATCAGATGAGCATCATTCACATATAGAGCAGGTTTTAGATCTAATCTGAAGTTTCCTTAAACAATATCTACGTTTCTGAGTGGCGATATTGGCTCAAATCTAACAGAGATAGGAACTTGTGATAAGAGTGAGTGGGTATGAAGCTTTCCAACCTCATATACCTGCTGATCTTTATCAAATGTTAGTTGTCGGAAATAGCAGTGAGTCGATAATTATACAAGGATGGATGCTAAAAAAACAAGTAAGGGTTTTCCAATCAAAAACAATATTAAATAATTATCAAAATACTTTTTTCTTCATCTATAACTTCTGCGGGTATGAACACATTTATACTTATATGTTATTATCCTTTTTTTCCCCCCATGATGGCAGGATGCTCTGCACAGAAAGTATCCAATGTTTGTTTTTACTGTAACACTGCATGACTCAAGTGTTTCTGATAAAAAGGTTCTCATACATATTTGATGAGAAAGGGAAGGCTTTATTTTAGTAATTTGTCCACGGTGAAATCATGTTTAGTCGTTCTGCAGACAATGCAGCAAAAGCATGCAAGTATCTGAGTAAGTCAAAGGTTTATAGAGCTGCAGGAGCCTTGGTCCTGCAGGAGACTAGGTGAAATGAAAATGTCAGATTGGACTGATCAGATCTTACCCGTGTTACTGATGGAGTAGAAGTTTTATATTGTCTCACACCCTCCACAACACTGCAAAATACCTCACACCCTGGAAACGTCACAATTGTTACACAAATACAGAAAAGTCATTAAAGCACACATGACCCTGATATGGGTGGGGAAATGTTATGAGGCACGCCGTGGCATTGCTGCAGATTTCACAGTTATGAGTGGACTTGATGAGCAAAGCCTGTTAGTCTGCTAAAATATGAGGTTAAAAAAAACAACACAAGTTTCAAAGATCTACTTTAAACCAGTTGTGTCACTCCAGCTCCCCCCACCCTGCCCTGCCAGTCCTCCCAGAACCTGATCTACCGCTGCTCTGCAGGGAGGGGGGGGAGCTGCAGGCTGATCCTCCCCCTCCTCCCTCCCTCCCAGGGTGCGTCAGTCCTTTCACCAACAATGGCTCTTTGGAAAAACACTGAGACACAGCGGACTCTACCAGTCTCTGCTCCCCAGAACCTCAAACGTGCAAATCTTCCTCCGGAAACTTGATGTCCGCTGGACGGAAAGCAAACAGTGACCGATCCATGTTTGTGCTTCGCACGGCTGGGCCACCATCCTGCAATCTTTATCCACAGATTGACGACTACGACATGCAGTGTCCATGTCCTAACACTACCGGCAAAACAAAAGGGCTTTATGCTGTCCATTAAACCCTAAACTCACGCAATCTTTATGTGCAGATTGCGCTACTTTCGATCCTCTGAAGGCGGCTGCTTTTGTTTAAACGTCCGGATTGACTGTTTTTCTCCCCTCTATGCTCAGGGCAATCTTTATAAACAGATTGCTTATGAAAATTCTTCAAATATCCTGTTTGAATTTTTATTTTTGAACAAATTGTCTATCCTGTCTCACACACAAAGTGACGGAGCGGTGCCAGCCCGTCCTCCTTAGTGTGTGAGCTCATTCTATCAGGATTTATGCCCACAGCTACCACGGCTAGCTAGCTACCGACAGCTAGCCATCCCTACAACAACTTCATTGGATGAATGTCGATTTAATTCAACTTCAAAAATCAACTTACTATTGATACTATAGATCCTCAGCGTCTCGGCTATATTATGCTGTACTTTTTCAAGCACTTATAGCTCATAACTCATTTATATGTCGTCAACCTTCATGGTTTTAATGATCATCAGAGACTTCTTATGGACTGGGCTGTGCTAGCTAAACGCTAGCATTTTCTTCTGGACCAACTGGAGGCAAAAATAGTAATCAAATGTCCATTACTCGAAGGGAAAAAAATGGAATGGAGAAGAGCTGTTTGAAGTCCTTCGAAGGCTCAGTCTTCGGCAAAGCAAATTCAAACCTGCGAAAATACAAAAGAGACAAACACAAATTCACTTTCAACTGACTGGTAAACATCCCCGTCCTTCATTAAAACAGGAGATGTTATTTTCCTCGTTAGAAAGATTGGAATTTAAAAACTAATGACGTTTTTTCGTTCCGCAAATTTTACTGTCTTGACTTACCTTTGACCAAATCCGGGAATGAGCTCGGAAAGGAGGGACTTGCTTTATATACCCCATGACGTTTTTTACGTCACGACCAATGATTTTCACCGGTTTGAACGAAACCAAAATGGTGGAAATCACCGACCTTTCCTTCTCGATCAAGGGCGTAATGGCGAATTTCATATTAGAGATAGAAAGTCTTCTTTGAGGCTTCAAAAATAGACCAAATCCGCCATTTTTCTATTCATGTCGTAGATAATAAAACCCTTATGACATTTTTACTGGTTAATCAAGGTTTTGAGCAGCATTTCAATAAGCAATTTAGATGATAATAATTTTTCAAAATGGCGACTCGGGTCAAAGACAGAAAACACATGATCGGATGAGGGGTGTGCCGATAGAGCGGCCATCTTAAGTCAGACCAAGCTGCTGTCAGAGACAGTGTACGTCAATTGAGGCTAATTTTGACTTTTGACCGTTAAATAAGGCGAACTCGTCCAATTTTCAGATCAATTGGCTGATTGAAACGAGAACATTTCACAGGCTGGATTTTTTTTCCAGAGCTTCCTCTCAGAATGCCCAACTTTTATGACAGATTATCCTTGTGTTTCACAGTTATGGTTTTTCTGTAAAAATTGAAAAAAACATACCGGTATATATATTTTTTTTTTTCTGGACTGTGACACGAAGCCAGAGTACCCGGAGAGAACCAATGCATGCACAGGAAGAATATAGAGCAAACTCCATGCAGAAAGGGAGTCAAACCCAGAACCTTCTTGCTGCAAGGCAGCAGTGCTACCCACTGCGTCACTGAGCAGCCAGTTTATGAAAGTTGAGCGTTGTTATTTTTGTCACTCTTTATATCCAGTAATATTGATACAAAAAAGGAAACATGAGCGTTTGCTTCAAAAAAATGACACTGACAGCAGTGTTGTGTCCTTTCTCTGAAAGCCAACGGCTACTTGTTTGTTTCAATAAATTCCTTAAAATAAATCCTCTCATTGTTTCACTGTGTCTAAATGTTCTCATACCACTGAAAACTGTTGTTAACCATATTCTTATAAAAAAAAAAATTAAATAGTAAATGGAGATTATAAGCTATAGGAATATTACTTTATCCCATGTCAAATTTAGTAATTAAATCTATATTTGTGTTTTATATTGACTTATAACTTCAGTATGATGTACTATCAGGCTTTTTTATTTCATTCCATATTCCCAGAATCAGTATCCCCATCTACTCTACACATCCAGTTTAGGAAAATACATATTCTCAAGAACAGTGTTGTATATTAACGAAGTAAAAATACTTCACTACTGTGCTTAAGTATATTTTGGAGTACTTTATACTTTCCAAGAGTATACACTTTTTTATTTCACTACATTTACAAACTTAATTGCATACTTTTACTCCGATACATTTTCAATGTTTGGTTTAGTTACCAAGTAAAAAAAAAAAAACGAGCGAGAGAAACGTAAGTGTTTTGACCCCGCCGACTGACTACAAAGTCAGGTCTTGGGTTCGTTCATCAACACCAATAGGATACGTCTGTTTCGTAAAGCCAGTCTAAATTTATCCTACACTTGGTTGTTTATATTATTTTAAGTGAATTTAACCTTCAAAGTTTACTAAAATTTAAAAAAAAAAATGTCATTCAAACTGCACTTATTTTTTACTTATACTTTTAACTACCGTACATTACTTGAGTACATCTATTTTTACAGTAATTCTTATACTTAAGTACAAGCCATTTCAGATACTTTAAGACTTTTACTCAAGTAAAATTTCAGTCAGTGACTTGGACTTTTACCAAAGTCATATTTTGGAGAGGTACTTTTACTTGACTCCG